AAAGTATAAATAAATATTACTTATTTAATTTTTATTATTATATATTGATTATAAAATTCTAATTTTTTTTATTTAGCAGAGTCCATAAGTCCAGTATATTTAAATAAAATAAAATTTTATTTAAATTATTTTTCAAGATATTATCTTTTATTTACTTATTTTTTTCTATAATTTTTAATTAATATATATTCATAATCCTCGGGCTCTAAATTTAAAATATAATTAATAATTTAAAAAATTCAGTTACTAGTAAAAATAAAACATAATAATAATAATATTTAAATTATTAATATAATATAATATAATAATAAACTATCTCTTTTAGATTACTTTATTATATAATTAATAAAATCCGAACTACTAGTATATTTAAAAAATTAATTAAAATTTATTTTATTATTTATAAACTAGGCTATAATTATTTCTTTTAATTTTAAAAATAATTATTAATATAAATTATTTTTTCAGTAAATTTTATGTCATGGAACAACCTAGGGGAGTTGTACACACAAGGCCAAAAAGACCATCATTACCCGCAGCTACCTGCGGACCCCTAGAATCCTGCTTATATAGACATGTACACACGGGAGTAGGTGGTCGCTACCACTAATCTATTACATTTTAATAATACCAGTCTTTATTATTAAATATTAAAATTTAGAATTAAATTATCTAGATATTATTTTTAGTTTTTAATATTGATATTAAGTATTATAAACTTTATTTAGATTAATAAAAATTATTTTTATTTATAATGATTAATTATTTTAGAGTAAAATTAAAAAAATTAAATATTTTTAAATAATTTACTATAATAATTATTTATATATATATCAGATAATTAGGTTAATGAAATAAATTATATTAATTTCTAATTTTTATTATATTTTAAATAACTAGTTCTTGAAAGCTAGAATCTTTTTATTATTAGATATTAGAAATCAGAGATTTTTAGAAATTTTTTAGATCTAAAAATCTCTGTTTTCTAGTTATTATAAATTATATAATATATTATTAATACTACCCATATATTATATTTTTAAAGATCATTATTATATTTTTTAACTAATTCATTTTATATTTAAATAAATATATTATATTTATTAATTATAATATTCAGTTCTACTTTTATCTTATTTATAAAATTAAAAATTAAATTAAAATTCTTTTTAAAATCCTTCTTATATATTTTAAATAATTTTTTTAAAGATTTTTTTATAGTTATTATTTTCTTTTTCTGATAAAATAATTAAATATTATTTTAAATTTTTTTATATAGAATAGTGCCAGCCTGGCTTTCTTTAATTATTATAATCTTAAAAAAAATTGTTAATCAATTATCCTTTCTAGAGATTTGATTTAGATTATTTTATTTTAGCTATTTTGATATTACTAAGTATATATTAGATAAATATTAATAGTTTTATTAAATAACTAGTTACTTACAGTATTATTTAAAAAAGTAGTTTACTATAATATTTAATATTATATAAAAGCTAATCAAATAATCTTATTTAATATATTTAAATTAAGATATTAAACATAAAAGAAGAAAGAAAAGAAGTATAAAAATATATATACATAAATAAATAAAATAAATAAGCAAGGTAAAATAAACAGGATAAATAAATAAGTTTATATGTTATTAATAAAGTAAGTGAAAACTACATCATGTGCCCCAGTCATGTTGCTCGCCATCACAATAGTATCTTTCTTAAACATTCAAAAGGAAAAAAATTAGAATATAATAAAATTTGCTTATTAAAATTGAATATATATTAATTAAATAAGAAATTAGTTATTTGAATTATCGATTGAGTTGATAAATTTAGGGGAAGCTCATATAACTAAAAAATCACCTGATTTTTGAGAAATCGGTATTTTATAAGCAGCATGGAAATATAGAACTACTGTTAATAATCTTATAACTTTTATAACTACTATAATAGATTATCTTGATGACTCTGAGCCTGATAGCTAGGCTATTCTATGACAAACATATCATGATAAAGAGGCCAGATGTCTTTGAATATAAACCGAGCACCACTCGCCACCACAAAGCTAAGTAAATAAGATTAAAGAAATAGAGTACATAGTATAATTCCTATGATCTTGTCATATGCCTCCGAAAGCCGCTTACCATCACATAGCTATCTAAATATAGGATAAAGCGGAATTAGTATGCAGAACAGGATGTGTACACCAACAGGCTATTTGCTGGTGCTTGCTGTTACATTTATAACACCACTCAATGCGCACTAAGGACAGATTCGGTATTTGTCCTAGGTTCTCACAGGCCGGGGTCTCATATTAGGTGTTTCCGAGGAATTGTAATCAGTCTAGTGTAGAAGTTTAGTTGCTATTATAATATAAACTCCAACATTGACACATCTCCGGCAACGCCCCTTAATAGCCTCTCTCCCGTTTCCTATCATAAGGATCAAAACTAGAATATAAAGAACATATATGAAAAAGAGATGAAACTATCTTCAATAGACTAAATTACATAAGCCTGCTCAAGGCACGGGATATAGTATAATCCTAGCCATGACACCCTCAGCTAGTCAATCGACCCAAAAGAATATAACTTGAATTAAAATCCATATCTCTATATTAGCAAGTGTAAGTCATAAAATGATGTATCACGTCGTCGATAACCATGGTCAAGTCACGCCGAATGGCCGTATCGCCAGTGAGCCCCTATGGCCCTAAGGCATGGCCCATGCCGGTCACCTTTAAATTAGGCATTGCAAAGACTGGAATATCACTGAGCCTTCTTGGTATCCTTCACGGACTTGTTTTCCCTTCTCCTCTTGATAGCCTCCGGGGAGTATTCGGTGTCAAGAAGATAATCCCACCACCTGAAGCTGCTGGAGTAATTTCCTACAAACTTCTCGTGATGAAGATCATGGTGGTCAGCGCCAGCCCAGAAAGGGAGGAAGTGATGAAGACTCCATGGAAACTCATAGCCACTGTGCGCATCAATGGCCTGGAAAAGCCGCAAGACGATCCAGATGTACATCGTAAAAATATGCAGATCGCCCGTTACTGCACACCATAGAATTGGGCAACCAACAGTACCAAATCCAAGAATCATGACTTCAATTGGAGAAGCATATTCAGCTGCCATACCGAAAGGTGCAGAATATTGATGGTGAATCTTGTGGATGGCTTTATACAGTGGCCCCCAATGGAGAGCACGGTGGGAAAAGTAATGCCACGTGTCTTCCAGAACAAAAAATATCGCTATCTGATAAGCCATGGTCCACAAAGAGGGAAAAGGTACAGAGGTAGACAGGCCAAAAAACTGGGCCATCGGGTGGAAAAGCCTAGAGCTGTTAGTAACGCTATCACAAACGGCCCATAAGAAAATCAAGTATTTCTCACCATATTTGTGGCAGCTCCACGGTAAAATGGCTGAGTAGCACAAATCTAGCACAATCCCATTGCTCCCGTAAGGATGGTATCTTGTTCTGTAGCCCAGTTAGAACAATGGCAGGTAAGCTTCGGTAATCCTGAGCCTCACGCTTTGAATCTTGTAGTTCTTGAACAAGCCGAGAGTGTCTATAAAGATCCAAGGGAGGGAACGCCCGAAATATACAATTTCGTGCATTACGAAAGACATGATTCCAGTTGCAAGAACGTCATTTTGCATCCAGGCATACCATGCTGTCCATAGTCTTTCGACCACGTTCAGATGAGTATTGTATTTGGAGATTTCTTCAAACTGGCCCCAGTATGATTCTGGCGTAGACAGAAGGGTGGAATTCCTATGCCCTGTAAGAATTCATGTATAGAACGGGTGGTATATCAAAAGCTGCTCACATTGTACTGGGACGCAGGCCGGCTTTTGCCCTTAGCACTTTTCTTCTCAACTCTCCTTCAATAAATCCTCGCTATCAGAGCGAAAATACGTAGATGACGGAGGTATGTGAGGTTTAGAGAGTCGTGTTTATGCGATTGGCATATGGCCAATGTTATAAACAAGGATAAAAGTGTTGCAGCAACAAATAAGTAGTTGTTAATGGATTGTTGCCTGTGAGAGGTTGGCTGGTATTTCAGGAACACTTGTGGAAGAAGCGGCGCGACCAGGACAGCCGCTCCCGAGGTGGCGAGACCTTTTCCCCCTGGCCTTGGACCTTTCTGGCACCACTGGCTAGCCGACTGGGACCGATATTAGTTAGCTCCACTTGCTTGGAAACTAGTCTGTATTCCTTGGTAGATACGTTAGTATGTTCGCTACTTATTATTATCTAATTATATTATTATTCCTACCCCTAGCAGCTAATCAAAGCGACCTCCTCACTGCACTGTACAGAGCGCTCACTATGTAGAATTGTAGATATTAGTGGACTCGATTAGATCTATGCAGCACCCGGGTAGGTTAATGAGACATACTCTCTGTGCACTTTATTAACACTATGTACATACATACATTTACCCTTTTTGCATGGAGGCAACTTGGGACGCGAGAATTCAGACAGGGGGCCAGGGGGCCAGATTACTAAGCCATGACCAGTGGCCTGAGGACTACAAAAGCGAAGGCCCTGCTGAGCACAGCATTTATATCACACAGATAATACTTGCACCATAGTCACTGTCGTGGCCAGTGTATATTGTACTTTTGTACAGATTCCCCAGCATAATCAGCCCTCTGCAGAGGGATGTTCTTTTTTGATTGGTCTTATTTGAATCAAGCTTAAACTTGACGCGCCGTGAGTTTACTCGCCTTACGATAGATGTAGTAGCCATTTAGGTAATGCTCGGAACACCGTGTTACCCTGCCACAACCCACCAAATGATACATTTGATTATATCATTTGGCCTGAAGAGAGAGTACTTGATTCAAGGTGTGAAAGTGGGCTTGATGTTTGCATGATTTGCTTGGTGTGCATGACGCCATTATTCTTAAACCCGAACTTCTTCATCAGTAATTCTTCTGGTTATTCCACATAATTTCTATTGTTGGCCCTACCCTGCCGTTTGCTCCACCATTCGCAATGTATGCGATAAATAAGTAAGTTACTCAATTGTATTGTCAGCATGAGGGAAGTATTGACACTGTCACTGTAGGGCGTACGGTCTGGATGCACATTTTGATAAACTGTGGCGGCAAATAAGCGATAATGCCTATCCGAAATCGCTAGACGTCTACGAACACGCAAGCCAAGCGAAATACCCTATTGAGAATGTCGCGAAACTGGAGAAGCTCATGGACACACTTTCCGTGACATCCAAGTCTCAACCGTTACTGCAGACGGAAAGGCTCTTGAAAATAATTGCCGAATACCCCGAGGATGTGCTCGATGCTGATTCCACGCTCCCAGACGTGAAAGCTTTCACGGCACACGTCGTAGACACTTCTTGGCTCGTAGCTGCTAAGGCTGCAGTCCAGACTCTCGGAGTTATACTGAATACGCTGTCAGATGATGTACTCTCCCTCAATGACGAGATGCTTTATTGGGACAGTGTTTTGGAGTCCCCCTGGTCACTTGGGCTCTATATGCTCCAAACATCACCAGTGGTGCTTTGGAGCCGATTCCGAGAAGTCTGTCACCATGCTAACTCTATGAACAATCCCCGGACGTCCGGTCAACCCAACTGGATGCAATTTTACGAATCTGTTCGCCAGTGTGTCCTTCCTCAAAGGTTGCATTTTTGGCGGGGAAGGATGTTATCACCACTCTCAACAGCGAAGTCAGATGTACGGCAGAAGCGGAAGACATTGAGTTCATTGAAAGATATGAATGCTTGTAGCATAGGGATCCTCATAAGGAACAGTTTCTCATGCGCAGTTGGCGACAGTTCTACAGGTGACAATAGCCATGGCGTGTTCATTGAGAGCTGGCAGACCAACGTCCTTGAGAGTGTGGCTTTGATGAAATTGCTCCTTGAAGATGCTGAAAAGGAAAATGTTCCGTGGGATCATGAAGAGCACATAAAACTGGCGATCAGTCAAGAAGTTACGTCGATGCGCATGCATTACTGCAGTGATCTATCATCTGAGGGTCCGAGGTTCGTCATGAACCAACTGGGCTATATACTTGAAAAGCTTCTACCGGCCTATGCCAAAGCTTCAGCCACAACAATCGACAACTCTGGACGCCCCCATTACCTAGTACGTTTTTGGCTACCCTTGACCCTTGCGCTATTATCAACAAGTACATCACTGGAGCTGTTAAGGAATAGGCGCCATGAGCTCCTGGAATGGATTGCCAACTTCGGTTCAACAACTATCGAGTTTTGGAACAACTGGGTTGTAGACCCACTTCGCAGGCTTATTGGCACTATAAGACATGATGAAAAGAGTGAGATTGCTTTGATGAGTAGAAACAGCTTGGAAGCCGATCGAGCTAGTTTGGAAAGAATGGTTGTGGACTTCGTTCTTGATCGTTGTGAACCGAACAAGAATGACTATGATGCTTTTGATACTCATGTCATTACTGCTAAAGTCCGGGAAGGTGACTTAACACCGGTGCTGAAAGCATATGAAAATGACCTACGTAGTCCTTTCGTTGGGACCGTCAAGGGTGATTTGGTGCGAGCACTTTTAATACAGATACAGAAGACAAAAGTAGATGTTGAAATTGCGATAGGGGGAATTGACGCTCTGTTGAAAAGCCAAGAGCTGGTTTTTGGGTACGACTTCCGGCCAGGAATATCAGAGTAGCCATTGACTTCATATAGGTTTATTGGACTAACCCCAGGTTTAATGGTGTCATATGCGACTCTTCGTTGGCTTTATGGCTTGCTTGGCAGTCGAAGGGGCTTTCGAATGGGTAAGCAGCAGGACGAACTGAGGCATGCTTTGCGGTAAGTTCTAGCTTAGTTCCAAACAACACCTTGATTCAGGGCTAATATATTGCTGTAGGATTGTACATCGGACTTTAACATCATCTGCCTCCACTCCCGGCGATGCGCTCGCATTTAGAGACTATGGTCTCCTCATATGCAACGCCGAAGTCCTACTCTCAAAGGCGCGGTCCATACTGAAAGGCGCAGATCTCCGTTCATTCCAGGAAGACATCAATGAATTAGTCGAGCGAGATACGATTGACCGGCAACTCAAGGTTGTTGAACGAATGGGTTGGGTATACTCAAAATGGATTTGATGCAATCCGGGATGCTGACTCACTGGGGCGTTTTATGCATCACTTGACTCTTCTGGTGGCAATTATATTTTGTGACTTTTGACTTTGGCGGCTGACAATATTTCGAACAAATTTTCCTGTATTATCTCTCACATGCTGTCGTAGACGTATCGTCGAAAAATGATAGAATACTGTGGTGGTCCAATTTACACCAAGCTTATGTACAAGGGAGCTCATTTCTACATCTTGGTATATCTCGGACCATCCTAGTGTTTATCGCGTGAAATGATGTGTTCGATGTTAGTGACCATTTCAATACCCAAGGATGTGATCAAGGTTAAGGGGCATTGATGCTATGTTCTCAAGTAATACTCTTGATATTACTGTTGTTGTTGTTGTTGTCTGTTGTGTTTGGAACGTCTGACTGGAACCACAAATGGACAGTAGCTGTCTTAAAGTGGTATAAAAGCTGATAGTTGAGTACTTTCATCTGTGGGGTGCGCTTGGGTAGACCGAACGATACTAGGCGATTACACAAGTGCCCGGGATACTACTCCGAACATGTACTCACTGTACGTGCATATACTGCTGCCAGCTTCCTAATAAACCTTGAAAGAAATCAGTTCCCAAAGATAAGTTGTGCTACTGTTGTCTATCGAATGAAATCATTACCCCCGGCAACTTTCCGAAAGTCAACGTGTCCAACGTCGCCGATTCTTACTTCAACAAAAGGTCTCCGATACAACACCTGTCTTGTCCCGTCCCGTCCCCTGACCCCATTCTCCGGACCGGCTCCTGGTTCCGTGGAAGATCCTGAATCCAGCACCTGCCACTATTCGAAGACTTGAGTTCTTTTACAGTCGGTATTATTGACGGAGACAAGCAGACAAATCAAGTGAAGTGAAATTTTGATTCCAGCCAAAAACAGATTTGTCGAGAAACCATAAGCGGAATCGGAAGGGATAGGAGAAAAGAGAGGGGGCACGCAAGACCAACAGAGGAGAGGGGAGAATAACGTCAAACCCAACTAAGACGAATATCGAGTAGGGATTAGCACAACGCAGAACATAAACTCACTATCACGGCTTTCATCCCTCGCTCTCTGTATACCTCGAGTCTGCAACAACAAGATGGCTGGTACAAGGAACTACGACTTCCTGGTGAGTATGATTGATGCCCCAAGAAATCAATAAGCTAAACATCGGTCTCTGTAGATCAAGTTACTGCTGATTGGGGATTCTGGGGTGGGAAAGTCATGCTGTCTATTGCGATTCAGTGAAGACTCGTTCACTCCGTCGTTCATCACTACCATCGGAATCGACTTCAAGATACGTACCATCGAGTTGGACGGTAAACGCGTAAAGCTCCAGATATGGGACACAGCTGGGCAAGAGCGATTTAGAACTATCACTACCGCATACTACAGAGGAGCCATGGGCATCCTTCTTGTATACGATGTCACCGACGAAAGATCATTTCAAAGTGAGAAACGCTTTCCTTGAACCCGAGGTGGATCATAAGATACTTAATGCTAATGCCCAATCGCCGTACTTAGACATTCGCACCTGGTTCTCAAATGTTGAGCAACATGCGAGCGAAGGCGTTCACAAGATCCTTATTGGCAACAAATGTGATTGGGAGGAGAAGAGGGCTGTGTCAACTGAGCAAGGGCAGCAATTGGCCAATGAGCTGGGAATACCATTCCTTGAAGTATCAGCTAAGAACAACATCAACATCGAGAAAGCGTTTTATGATCTCGCATCCGATATTAAAAAAGGAATGGATACGTCGAAGTCCGAACAGGTCGGCTCCCAGGGCGTGAGCATAGACCAGCAAGGTTCCGGGTTGAACGGCAATGCGGGTGGGAAGTGCTGTTGATTTGATAGTACACTCTCGTTTGGTCTTCGGGCTATCTTTTCCCATTATGACTCTATGTCTTTGCGTGTTACAGGTTTGTGTGCCATGGCTTCAATACATCATTTTGTTCACGGTTCGAATAGATGCTGGGAAGCTAATTGGCTGATTCTGCTCCTAACCTATGTATGTTGATAATGAAGGCAGGGGCTTATGGTTTTCGTGAATGCCTTCATTCTTCTCTCTGTTCTGTCTTGGGTCGTCATCCACTTACTGCGATTGAATTTTCCCAGGTGGCGTTCTTCTGTGTATTCATTACTGTGCAAGTGAAATTAGGTATAGCATAAACAGTCTTTTGCAAGTGCGGTATACATCACCCGCCAGCATCTCCTAATAAACATGAGGAAACTTGGGGCATGTCCTTATCTGAATGGTCTTGGCAAAAGTTGACTGCAGCCGGAGACAATTATGATGGTGGTCATACAAATTGAAGATCGTCGAGTAAGGAAAGCACCGAGGTAGTTGAGCATCACCACACAAGGAGCGTTAATAGAAAGCGCGGCCAAAAAAAAAAAAAAAAAAAAAAAAAAAAAAAAAAAAAAAAAAAAAAAAAAAAAAAAAAAGAAAAGGAACGTCCCTGGAGGATCATGGTCTAACCTGATCCAAGATGATGGTGTATAACCTACATGGATAGGTAGAAGGGAGAATGCATGGAATTCATTGGTAACGTGCACCTTTTGTGAGAGTTAGTCCTCTCTGTATCTGTACGGTTTGTACACATCTCATTCAGTAATCTAGCACTGACAGTAGCACTGGCATTGCCATTCTATCATTGTGCCGGAAAGAAGTTACTATCGAGTACTTGGAAACATTTGCGGCCGGTATAGTAGACCATGATGTTACTATTGTATCTTCTGCTCCCCTCAAAGTGGGGCTGTGTGGATATCCATTTGAGATGGCCCATTATTTGTGAACAAACACCTTACGGAGTACAGATTTTGTTCGGAACCCTGTTTTCTCCATCCTTTGTCTTTCTACATTGTATTAATCAATCAAGCATATCAGCAAAAGAAATGAGGGAGATTTCGTGAAAGAGCCTTCCATATTCTTGTGTTGGTTTTCCCTTTATCAGACTTTAATCTCTTCTTTTTCCATCCCGCTTTTATCAATCCAGTATACGCGCTCAGCAGCCAGTTTACTTACGCCTTTCTCGGATTACCTAAATGTAAGTCAAGGCAGTCAAAATGTTCCAACAAGTCAAATTTATCGCTTCTGGTGCCTAGGAATTGCTTACAAAGAATCATTATGCAGGTCATGATACTGTAAACAGCAGGTGTACTCAAGCTGCAGTAGTGGGAACGCGGGACACTAGGCGTTACTTTTGGAGGGGCCTTCAGCTACCGCTAAAAAAAATAAAATGTCCGAGACTCGAGCCTTCACAGTTCGACCGCTGTCAAAGCAAACAAGAACTGATCATAGAGATGCCTTTCGTGTTTATCTCTCCTCGTCGTCCCTGGCTTTTCTGAAGCTCAGAGCTGGAGATGTGTGCAATATTAGTCTCGCCGACGGTCCATCGAAAACGGCAATAGCTTGGAACGCGACCGAGAACATTCAAAATACGGTTGTACAGACCTCAAGAACTCTTCAGGAATGCTATGGATTCAAAATTGGGGAGAAGATTACAATATGCAAGGTCGATGGGCCCCTCAATAAGATCGACAAAGTCTCCATTATAGAGTGTTCAGATAGTGATAGGATTGCAAGATACGGCGCGATTCCACCCTCTGACATAATCCACTGGTCATGGTCCCTGGAGTTTCCTCTTCTGAAATGCGATGGCATTACTGTTGGCCTAGTATTTGAGATAGAGCTTAGGGGTCAACGCCGAAGCTTCAGAGTGGCAGATATCTCAGGCGAAGATGGAAGTACTGCCTGTACTCTCTTCAGGTTCGCTGAAACCAGCGAGATCATAATGGGCGAAGATCTTAAGAAACCTCTAGAGCGCGGAACTTCCAATATCCAAGTGCGGCCGACTGGGCTGGGAGGAATGGACCGGCAAATTGAGAGTATCAATGAAAGTCTTGCTGACTTTAACCCTGGTCTAGTCAATCTAATAATGCCTTCATTCTATGAACACAGTCGAGGCATTCTTCTTTATGGTCCGAAGGGAACAGGTAAGACGGCGCTTCTGGAACAGATTAAAGCAGCAGGGTGGAGGCAAACATTCCATATTGGATCCTCAGCCTTTGGCCGCAATATCGGGGATGCCGAATCCAAGATGCGCAATATATTCCAAGAAGCAATGCGTTCTCAACCCAGTGCAATCCTGATTGACCAGGTGGAGTTCATTGCGCCTAGACGGACATCGCTCGATAGCCAGTCGTTGGCATCGGTTCTATGCGAATGCATTGACGCTACAAAGAATGCATTCGTTTTGATTGTGGCTGCAACCCGTCACCCAAATGATGTCGATGATGCCCTGAGGACACCGCATCGACTAGCGACTGAGATTGAACTGCATATTCCGACAGCACATGATCGAGCTAAAATTTTGCGTGCTATATGTGGATCCCCATCCCCGGCATTGAGCGATACCCTCATAGACTTGATAGCGGAGAAAACACATGGTTACGTGGGTGCCGATCTCTTCGCTTTGCTACAGTTGATCAGTCGCAAGGCACGGCAAAGACAGACGTTGGAACATGAGCTTTGTTTTGGTGACAAACGCATACCTGCCGATAATGCTGTTGAAGGTCCGACCACTCATGAACCAGGAACAGCTATACATATCAAGGACGTTGATGTCCTATCAGCCCTGCAGGAAACTCGACCTACTGCTATGCGCGAAGTGTTCTTGGAGACGCCCAAGGTCAGGTGGTCGGACATTGGTGGGCAGCACGAGATCAAGAGACGTTTGCAGAAAGCAGTGGAGCGTCCATTGAAGGTAAGCGCGCACCTTTAGATTGTGCTGTTGCAGTTCTGACAAGGCCAAGCATCCTGAGCGAATGAGGAGGCTTAATTTGACCAGCAAGAAGGGTGTACTTCTTTACGGGCCACCTGGATGCTCTAAGACGTTGACAGTGAAAGCATTGGCCACGGAAGCAGGGCTTAACTTCCTGGCAGTCAAGGGAGCCGAGATCCTAAGCATGTACGTTGGGGAATCTGAACGAGCATTAAGAGAAATTTTTCGAAAAGCTCGTTCTGCAAGGCCCAGCATCATATTCTTCGATGAGATAGACGCTATCGCCTCGAAACGTGGCACTTCATCACAAGGCGGGGTTAATGTTCTTACAACTCTTCTCAATGAAATGGATGGCATCGAGGAGCTTAAAAGTGTCCTAGTCATCGCCGCCACAAACAAACCTGAAGTGATAGACCCGGCGTTGATGCGCCCCGGTCGATTGGACAATATACTTTACATAGGACCTCCCGACTACGAGGCGCGGAAGGAAATCCTGGACATATGGTTTCGCAAATCCGTCATTAACCCGGAAGTTGAGGTGGACGTGTTGGCCATGAAGACTGACGGGTATTCAGGGGCTGAGATCGTGAGCATATGTGAGACAGCCGGTGATGCTGCGTTGGATGCAGAAGAGGAGACCGGCGAAGCGCAAGATATCCGATGGGAGCATTTCGAATATGCGCTTAAGCAGGTGAAGAGACAAATAACGGCCGCTGTTGTTGAAGCATACGAACAGTGGGGTGATTCTGTTGACATATGAGCACAACTGTCTCTATATAGAAACTATATAACGATGCGATCGTTCCGGACTTGGAAGTAATAAACCAATCTTCAAGCATGGAGCTGCTGTTATTTGGCTGGGTACTTTGTTCAACATGTGGGTTCTCTTTTTCTTAGACGAAAAGAACAGAAACCAAGATCGAAACAGTAAAAGAAAGAGAGAAAAAGACGTAGAAAACAGGAAAGAAAGGGAATGATATTTTAGCATTGGTTTTGTTGATGTGCAGGGGATAAGGATAACAAATATGGGGCCCGCCTATCGTGCGGATAGCAAACCTACCTGGCTCTGACCTTCATACATGGCACAACAGGCTTCCAATTACTCTGCAACTTTTGATCCGTCTTGGGCAACCCCACTCAGTATCAGACCTTCGATGCGTCTCGCTCCCTTGATATCTCGCTTATCCGGACTTATTTCTTGCTACAATCTGTTCAGCTTGGCCTTGGTGGTTTCCTAGAAAGCTCCCTCCACCAAGTGGATCCTGTAGGATGCCAGAAAGATACACTCGGGGCCGCTCTCGTGGCCGTTTGCCATCCTCGGAATTTGATCGGGCCCCATCCTTGCAGCGTTCTTTGTCCCCTCGCTCAGAATCGAAATTCAACACTACACCCCGGAGTCGTTCTGTGGAGCGTGGTGCTGTTCGCCGCACTGGTCACCGTTCCAGAAGCTGGTCGCGGTCACCGTCGCACAACAGAGCGCTATCCCGTAGTCGAAGCCGAAGCCGAAGCCGAAGCGAAGCTCCCAGACGTTACAGGAAGAAAGACTTCAGCCGGACTCCGAGTCCCTCTGCCGATGCTTCAAGAAGCTCAAAGGTCGGTTGCGCTTGCATCATTCCAATCTGTAGGTTTTATGCTGGAACTAACGGAAATCAAAGATAGTTATTGAAAAGTTGACCAAAAATGTTACCGAATCACATCTTCGGGAGATATTTGGTGGTTTTGGTGACATACAAAGTCTTGACCTTCCCATGAACAAAGCCTGTAAGTCCTATAGTCTCATGCTTTCCACATGCCCAGGCTGACGCTCTACTAGTCATGACAAACAGGGGCACTGCATACATACTCTACCACGATCCTGCGGATGCAGAGGCAGCCATCGCGCACATGCATGAAGCTCAGCTAGATGGTGCCATGTTGAATGTGTCGATTGTTCTTCCTAGGAGAGCCTTCTCTCGCTCACCACCACCAGTTCAACATAGCAGAGCAAGCTTTGGCCGCCCAGGACACGGCCGCGGACCCCCGTCGGATAGTCGCGCTCCAAGGTCACCGCCACCGGCTAGGAAATATCGCCGTTCTCGGCATATGGAAAGGCATGACATCTATAGGCCTCGCTCTCTGTCGCGTTCCAGGTCGCCACGCCGCTCTCGATCCCTTTCTTCCAAATCCCGTTCAACTTCACCACCGCCAAGGCGGACACATTCGCGTATGGACGGCTCTCAACGTCGCCGTCGCCGTAGCCCGAGCTACAGCAGCTATGGCTATAGCAGTCGCAGTGATAGGGAACGGAGCGCGAGCCTAAGAAGAGACCATCATTAACCCAGGATTGTTTTACGATATCGTCTTGGTGTCATTCGATAGTCTTGATAGGATGTTACAATGAAGATACTGTTCTTGGCGCCGTTCAACTACATGGGACTGGCAGAGGATAATGGGGTGCAGGCCGGTGTACTTCTACACTCGAATCGATTTGAAGCCTTGTCCTATAATTAATAATGTAAAGTTATGTTGTGCACGGGAAAAACTCAGGAAACCCAAGTCATCCGCAATCTAGTTCTAGTAATCACAAATCACCCAGGACCAGGGTCAGTGTCGAGAAGGACCTCTAGAAAAAGGCGCACCAGCCAATATACATAGCAGCTAGATTCTTTACATCCGTTGCTTGTACAATTAGTTCGTCTACGTGACCGTCCACCGAAAGGGGGACTGATTCCCCAGGTAGAAGGCCACGAAGTTTGTTGCGAACATTCTCTAGAACACCGGCAGGTGTCTCTGGGGCATTGACATGTGTACGACGCTACTGTTGATCAGCAACGTGAGCGTCTACATTCTGGGTGGTGCGTACCTTCTTCCCGATGAAGTCCGTGGTAGGGTCATGCAAAAACGTCTCCAGAACGGTCATGAGTGCGTCTTCGTTATGGCGAAGCAGACCAAGACTAATTTCACATGTCTTGCGGAACGGACCTATCAATGATATTAGCACATGGACAATTCAAAGGTTGATTAGAACGAACCATTGTATCCATAGGCACCGAACGCATCAACCATGTTTTGGGTCAAACGAAACGGAACCAGCTCAGGTATATCAAATGTCAATCCCTATTCATGTCAGCCAAGAAAATGCAGGGCAGGTTTGTCTCGGGTCTCGGGCGCCTAACCTTGTCGAAAAGGCAATTGAAGTCGACATGTAAAACACCTCCCGTACCTTCCTCGAACAGTATGTTTTCACCATGTCGATCACCTAACCTGCAGAGAAATGAGCTGAAAGAGATATATATCAGCAAAATGTGGATTAACTAACCCTAGGACATGCCCAACCATGGACATAACAGCACAAGAACGAGTATAGCGAATTCTGGCGGCAAACCATGATCCTGCCTCAGGGAACATTTCAATGAACCATTCAAACAGAACTGGAGGAAACCTGCATCGAGATTAGTCCTGGAACGGAGCGATCCACGAGGAAGTGCATTCGGAAAGCTAACTTTGACAAGACTTTTGTCGTGAAAAGATGGAGTTTTGAGTTGTCGGAGCATGCTTCGTTGAGGTCGTGTCTGATTTCATTATACTATAGTAGAACCACTTCAATAGCTGTATGGCTTTCCTCATGAAGATGGAAAACTTACGTTTGGCGCGATGCCTCTCTCTCTCAAGAGCTTGATAACAATATCCCTCAAAGCACGAAGGTTGTCGACCCATTCGATTAGCCCGCATTCTTCGTTCAGCGGTGTCACAGCGTACGTTTTGATATCTGCCACAGCGATCACTCGGTCAGAGGATAATGGAACAAAGAGGATATTTGAGTACTTACACATCCGTCGTTTGCTCGATTCCACATCCTTTTTGAAGAGCCGATTGATCATGTTGTTGAATTCCATGAGCCGTTGATCTTTGCGCAGGTCATCCTTGGGTTTGCACAGAATATTGTATACTTTTCCATCCGAGCCCCGGATCCCTATCCTTCGTGGTTTCTGGAGAGAATTCAAGACCTGCACATCGTCCAGAATGGCTATCAATAGTCAGTGAGGTTTCTGCAGAAGTCAAACAAGAAGCGCTACCTTCAATAGTCGTAGGATCCCTAGGGAAGGCCCTGAAACCTTTCAGGTATTCAGGTTTATGGCTGGCTGGTAGCGTCGGTGTTAACATTGCTTGGAACGGCACCACAAGCCTGCAAGGCGCCACCTTGTGACTGAACTTCAGATCACGCAGACTGACTCTCAGGACTTTGTCTTCAATGCGAGCTATGCACAACCTTAGCATTTCCTCTGAGAATTTTTGTCCTTGATTTATCATGCCACGCATATCCGACGATGGCTGATTCTTCAGTTTCTTGTTTACTTCCTGCTTGAGATTAGAGCTCGAACCATGATTTGATGCAAGTGTCTCCTTCTTAACTCACCGTAATCTTCTGCAAGCAGTTTATCCCTCTGGATGCCCGGTCCTTGGAAGAGGATTTAACCACTGCGAGGACAGTCCATAGCCCTTGCTGGGGAAATGAGTTAACTGCCCTGGCTACGATCTTGGTCAACAAGTCGTATACCGTCGTATTTGGGTGACATATCCTAGCAACAACTTGAGGGAGAATGGTGAAAAGCTGTCTCTAGTTAGCAAGCTTTCATATGGTACACGACTTTGTTACCAACCAGCGCAGCCGGGATCCTGTTCACATATTTCTTGAGTTGTGTATGCATATCATCAAGGCTCTTTTTTCGCTGGCTCAGAGTGTGCTTTTGGAAATCTCTTTTAAGTCGTTCCGATTATTTCAGTCAGCATGCAAATTGAGGTGAAGGTAACGGGAGTTGAAATATTTAAATTCCGAGGAAAATTGACTACTACTTACTCGTTGTCGCCTCTTTTTGGATCAAACGGCTGGTCAACGGTAGAAGCGTGTTCTAGCCAGAGTGTTAAGATTTTGGGCAAGGACTGAAATACGTATTTGTTGCCATGGGCCAATGACCGGAGATAGTTGTCAACAACAAGTTTTGAGGCCTCGCCACTCAAGCTGTGAAAGATATAAGCCATTGATCATTTTGCAGGTCAGGAATAGGAATGCTGACTAGATTTGTGCTTCCTTCCCCAGAGGTTTCGCTTTCTCCATATCCAGGATTTTGTTGTAGTGCTTGCCTAGGTAGTAATGGGCCTTCTCCCACCTAAGAACCAGTTAGCTTCCTATTCAAAGCACCTGCCGTACCTTTCTGGGAAATAGAATCTACCTAGGGTGGAGCTTTATAGCTTCCCTGTATCTCTGGACGATAGCATCTGATTGTGTTTGCCCTGCCCTGTCTGTCCACTTGGCCAGGAGCAGATGTGCCTATATAGTTGATACAGTCAGATCGTGTCAGTAGCCTATGGACGGTGACATACTCGAGCCAAGAGCATATTTTGATGTTCACCATTATTTGCAACTAGCGATGAGGTGCGCTCTTGAGATGAGGCTGTCTCTGACGAGAACTCATTAGCAGTAATTGCGCCTTCCAGTGTTTGTATTGCTTTTCGATGATGACCGTCTTTCCAGAGGAGCCGTGCGTGCTCAATAGTGGCAGATCTATCATTCAGACGAGCTGCATGGAGCATCGATTGGTATGCTTGATTGGTGAAGTTGCCTTTGCGCGACAGACGTGCACTAGTTAGCCAAGCAGCGGCTATGTCAGAATCGGTAAATTCGTTCCTTTAAGGCTCTATCAGCATCTGACAAGAGAAAATTCATAAAGAAGGCAAAAGCGACATACGTTAGCTCCATCGTAGCCCTTCTGAGGCCTAAGAGATATTGCTTGTCAGAGATGTAGCCCCCAAGGATATCCAAACGTCGATCCAGTATATCAGGTAGCTTTGTGCGCGAGCCATTGCTCTCACTATCCTCAAATTTAGCGCGGGCTATAGACTCCACCTCGTGTAGAGTGTGTAGCTTGAGAATGCTATCATGACATGACTGCAACGATACCACGGAGTTAGCTGTTAGGGACTTGGCCACACTGAGTCGTAAGGCCTCTATATGTTCCCAGAATTCCGTATACTTGCCGCGCCGGAAAGCATTGAGGGCCAATCCGATCTCAATATTAAATTCCCCCCTACCCAACTGCGAGAGCTGCTGGAGATACTCATTTAGCTTTCCCCAATTACTTGTGATCCAGGTCGCTTCTACTGCAAAAGGTAGAAACTTTCTAGATGAATTATTTGCTTTCAAGATCTCGAACCGCGTGAGAATGGCATCTAAGAATGTGTCAGTGGGCCGGCTGGACGGGGATTGACTAGGGAAATACCTTGTTGTCCAGATTCCTTGAGACATGCGAGTAGACCCCACTGTGCTTCGCTATTATTTGGTTCTTTCTCAAGTTGCAATTCATACCAGCTTTGTGCAGTAGCCCACCTTCCTGCCTTTCGATGCTCAAGTACCTGCTGATCGATGTTTAACACGTGCAGATGGCTTGAAATTCCTTCGATACCGTCTGGTTCGTCGATCCGACTGTAGATATCTTGTAATCGCTGGTAGAGAGGTTCGACGGCGGCGCCTCCTTGCTTAGAATGCTGGTTTTTCCACTGTCGGATGTACTGCTCCCAATGGAACAGAGCCCGTGAGAACGATTTGCACTCAACAGCCCTCTTGGAGATGACCTCTGGAGGTATCGAACTCAGAAGTAGCTCTACAGCTTTGGCTTGCGAATGGTAGGTGTCTAACAAAGCATCGCGAGATGCTCCCTTGTGGTTACGATTTGAAGGATGGCTGTGGTTCCTGAGACTATTGATTTGTTTCTTCTTGCCCTGTAGCCACCTTGAAAGGTAGTCGAGGACTTCGAAAATGCTCTGTTTCGAACAGTGTGAGACAATCAAATGAATCTGCGCAAATAAATGGAGTTACGCTACTCACCTGACTGCACAATATGATGTTCTCATATACATAATCGTGTGTGTCGGGTAATGGGTGTGACAGGACATTCACTAGCTCACAGCGTAGATCTTCTTTCTCTTGTGGGCTCCCAGAAACCGTACGGTTAAGCACCGCGAATGGCAGCAAAAAAGATGCTATTGAGATGTCTTGGCCTTTCACAATGCGGCTGCAAACACTAAATACTAATTTCGCATTGTCACCGTTCCCGGCTTGCAATAGATCTTGCACAAAGCTCCGTAGCCAGTTGCCATGTGTCAGTCCAGCTTTGAACAAGGGATAGCTGCAGTTAGTGTTGAGGGTCCCAATGGTAACTGTATACTTTGAGGTAAGGAAAGGAGCTAGAATGTTGCGAACAGTTTCAGGTAGCTCTAGCCAGCGTTGATATTTCTCATCCGCTCGGAAGTCACGCGATCGAT